GATAAATATTCATCTTGTAACTAAACTTTATATTATTAATAAATAAAAATTTATTTTTATTCAATAAAATACTTAAAAAATCTTATTGAATTATCAATATAAAATAAAAAATAGAAATCTAATGTTCTTTAAGAATAGTTTTTCCTTTTTTTCTACGTCTCGTTGTTTCAGAATCTCTAGAAGATAATGAAGACATTGACGCATTTGAATCATAATTTTCATTATTACTCGAATCTTCAATTATATAATCAAGTTTATTTTCAATAAATCCTTTGAATCGTATCTTTTTTCTCTTTGTTTTTTGTAATCTATTTTCTAATTTTCTTTTTACTTCGGGATATACAATCGTGTCGATATGTAAATCGTTCTCAACTTTATGATTTGTTAATTCAAATTTGTCAACTCGTGAATTAAAATTATGGTTGTAGTATCGTATTCCATTCTTTTCTTCGATTGAATTTTGATCTCCAATTATATTTGTGATCTGTTCTAATGTGACATCAGAGTTGAATTCGATATCGAATCGAAGATTAATGAAATCTTTGTATGAGCCCTTATGAAAAATTCTTTTTACCGAGCAACAAATACATTCAAAATCACAAGGTTTTTTACCATCATTTCTAAATTTTTTGTACTCGATAATATAATCAAATCGATTATAAATCGAAGAGTATTTTTTTTTATTTTCTATCTGAAGACCACTATTTAAAGTAAAATATGGTGTATCTTCAAAATAGACATATTGATTTCGCAAAGATGTATTCGATGTAAACACATTCACAAATGAACAGAAGTTCAAGTGACCGCCTTTTTTTTGAACTGTATGGGGTTTGTTATCGATTAATGTTAACAGAGTTGAAAATTCCATATTGGAATTGTAAAAATCATCGTATATGAAAACTTTGTTTTCATCATATCCTAGCAAAAATAAAAATAAAATATTAGTCTATTTTTTTTTTTTAATTTTTAACTATAATGTTTACCTTCGAACCAATGCTTATCATCATGCGATTTATGGTACGCGTCCGGAAAAAGTAATTGAGTAAGATAGTCTTTTCCTGTCCTTGAATCGCCCCAAATATAAATGTTGCAAGGGGTGAAACATCTTTTGAACGATTTTTTTCGACTTTCCTTCTCTTTCTTTATCAAGTGCTCCAAGTCTTTTAAGCTTCTAAGCCATGATCTTGGAAGTAATTCTTTTTGTTTTTTTAAAATATCTTCTACCATTAAATTATTTTCAACAATATAATCAATTCTCTTCATATCCTCTAATCGTTTCTCATTGATATCATCTTTATTGGTAAATTCATCTGCATTTGCCAGATATCGATAGTTACCAAACGCCCAAAAGCTATTTTCATTGTTTGATAATTCTAAGGCTCGCCAACGAGCAAGAGTACATTTCTCGATACAATCCTTGTTGCATACGTTACAAATTTTTTCCTTCTCCTGGAAAGAGCAATAGCATTTTTTTCGATGTTTCGAATCCTTACACCTGTTCCATTGTTTTTGACTGTAATCTCGGTTTTTATCAGAATCACCATTTAAATATTTAGGAAAGTTCATAGCTTGGTGATTGAATATTTTTTTTACGCTGGTAATAGTTTGGCATTTATCGAATTGGAAATAGGCCTGTTTGTGAAATTTCCCTGAATCAGTAGATTCATATTGACCAGAAACGTATATCAATCCAAGTTTTTCTAATATGTTAAATTCTTCTTGCGATTTTGGTAAAACACGTTGGCATTTGATTTTAGATTCTTTACAATAAGAACATTCAATTTCGTTGCATTCGTTCAGTTTACAGCATTGATCACATTTTTTATCTTTGCAGCACCAATGATTTTTGAGACATTTATCACATTGAGGAACCTTCCCAGTATTTGAATATTCCTTTTCTCGTTGCTGTTTATCTTTATCAGACAAATTTTTCTTGCACTTGAAACAAGTCAAACAAGGAACACAGTAGTAAATAGTTGATATAATATGTCTAAATCTATAGTTGCCAGACATATTTTTTGTTAGTTTTTTTAACTAATTTGTTTTTTTTTTTTTTTTTTACTGGTGCTCCTGTCTTTTTATATTTTTTTTAAAATCATCTGACCAAATGTTCTTAAAAAGGAAATTTTAATTTGTTTTAATCACGTGCCGCAGCATTATTGTTTTGTAAAAACATTTCTTGTCAAGAAAAAACTTTCAAGAAAAAAGCCGTCAAAGCTAAAATTGTGTTTTACTCGAAATTTTATTATGTAAATCGACTTTGGGTCAATAACAAAAGTTGTTCGTCTACCAAAAAAACATATAGTTTGATAGAACGACTTTGTACATTTCTCTAATAAAATTTTTAAGAATGAGTTAAATACGATCATCGCGAATTTTGTAAAAGGATCTACAGAGAACAAATTAATGCTTTACCAAAACCGTAAAATTCTGATTTGGAAGTTCAAACACTTACCAAATCCGTAAAATTCTGATTTGGAAGTCATACAAATTAATGTGTTAACTAAATCCGTAAAATTCTGATTTGTAAAAAGTCAAGAAAAAAGCCGTCAAAGCTAAAATTGTGTTTTACTCGAAATTTTATTATGCAAATCAACCTTGGATCAATAACAAAAGTTGTTCGTCTACTAAAAAAACATATAGTTTGATAGAACGACTTTGTACATTTCTCTAATAAAATTTTTAAGAATGAGCTAAATACGATCATCACGAATTTGCATTTAGAGGATCTGCAAAGAAAGAAACAAAACGAAAAAAGAAATTCTTTAATTTCTCAACGAATATTAAACTAATCGTTCTGAAAATTTATATGCTAATAGAATGAATGTTTCTCTACAAGTTTAGTTAGAACTGTAAAGCAATGTTAGAAATAAGAAAATTAATCCGCATAAGAATGTTTCTTTAGGGGTACCACGAAAAAATGATTTAAAATTCCTTTTTTAGAACCCCCTGTGATAAATAAATCAAAATCGTCAAAAACCACCCATCAATTAGAGGGTGGTTTTTTTGAACATGTTCAAAACCACCCAAACGATCGACATTTTATTACTATTTTTGGAACAACTTTTTTTTATCTCGCTAAAAGAGTATTTTTACCATTTCTAACATTAAATACGAGTACAAAACTTGGTACCCGATCCAATTTTTACTAGTAAAGATTTTTTTTTTATGTAAAATACAGGGATGTGATAAATAGGATTTCACATTATCAAAAAACCACCTACATATATTAGAATTATGAAGTATTCTAATTTAGAAAATTTAATTAGTGAATTTTTTTTAGTTGTCCGGGGTAACACTGATACCCCGGACAACTAAAATAAGTGTTTAATTAACGTATACATATGTTTTTTTATTATCGTTATATCAAAATTATCGTATTTGGTTATATTGGCTAATTTCTATTTGTTCTTATTATTGACCAGGCTATAAAATTAAGATTATTACCTAATATGCAGGGCATATTACGTACAAGTGATACAATCCAAAATAAAAAATAGAAAATTTTCTATAAGTTATAGTATCTAGAAAAATATTGCCCTATATAGTTATTAGGGTTGGTGTTTGGGGTTAGAATTAAAGATACTAAATATTTTTACTTAGGAGCATTATATTGGTTTTCTTAATAAAATTTTGAGATATTAAAGACTTTTGGGGGTTTTTTTTCTTAAACCATAATGATAACGATACCGATTATGCAAAAATATTTGCTTTTATTTATTTTATTTAATATAAAACATATAACAGGCTAATTAATTATTATGCGATACTCTAAGTAAAATTGTTCTATATCCCTAAACTCTTTCAAAACCCTCATTCTAATACAAATATTAACCCTACATGAAAGTTTGTGCTAAAATTTAATTGCAAAATTTATAAAATCCTAGAAAAATATATAAAAACATTATAATTTATATATATATATATATATATATAACTTACTGCATGTTTAATATTTATTAGCTATTCACATTTTGTAATCCTTAGCTCTTCCTTTAGATATTCGTCATTTAAATCTTTAATACCATTTACAGTTAGTTTTTCTCTTGCAAATACCACTTCCAATTTTAAATAATTATCGTTACCATCATTATAAGCTTTATTTAGTTTTTTAAAAAACTTATAAAAGGTTGGAACTGAATCAGAAATTGAAGATGTTGGTTGTGAAATATTTAATTGTTTATTGACTTTAATGGCATAAGCTATTCCAAATACAGGGTAGGAAGGTAGGACTTCTACTGTTGCACCTCCAGCATTCTGTAATATATATATCAATATATATTTATTAATATAATATATATTTATTACATGTATTTATATGTATTGTATATACTATTATGGGATGTTCTATAGAATAGATAAGCAATATAAGAAATAAGCTTCGCCGATGATTAGTAATCGTTAATTTTTTAATATATTTATATGACATTTGGTAGAGTTTAGCACCTATTTTATAGAATATCCAAGTTTCGAATTTACCAAATCCAAGTATTATTTGGTTTCTATATTTAAACTTTTATTATCAAATTTTTTGATTTATCATCTTATAAATATTAATACTAACCATATCTTGTACCCATAAATGTAAAAGCAGAGGTGTTAATTGAAGATGGTTTTGGTCTTCGATATAACAAGGCATATTATGAGTATTATATTCATATTTTGATCTGATCTGTGAAATAATTTTGGCTAATTTTATTTCATCTGAAGAAAGACTTGACTCTTTTGGCACATAGTTTGTCTTTATTTTTTTATTTTTTAGGTTTTTCTCATCGTTAAAATCGCTATCTTCAACAGATTTCTATAAATATATAATTAATATTATATTAATATAAAATATATAAATTATTAATATAAAATTATATACCTCAGCTTTTCACTTATTAGATTTTAATATAATATATATCACATTATTTTATTTAAACTTAGATTTTTACTTTCAGTAATAAATGAATCAAAATTATGTTTATCGTCTAATGCTATCAGCTGGCCACGCCCATTTATCTTGTATGAAATTTTAAGATCATAGTTATCGATTTTCTTATTTTTAAGATGCTCACAAGTATGTTTAATAAGATCATAATGAAATGCATCAAATGTATCTGAATAAAATATAAACCATTTTCCTGCCAACAGTGTAGAATTATTGACCTTAATAATGACTTTTACTTTTAATTCTGAACTTTCATTATTTGGTTAGTCAGTTGAAAAATCAAAATCGTCATTTGGTAAATCAGAGGTTGTTGAATAATTATCATCATGGTCATTATCGGTTGGAGAATATTCTGGATCATCTAGATCTTCTTTGGAACATGTAAAATAGCTATAACAAGTATTACAAAAGCTTATATTAAATTTTTTTTTAAAGTTGCAATCATAATACCAAAGTCTATTATATTTTCTAAGAAACAATTCTTGATTTAAAGGTGTTGTTTTAGGATTATAAACTTGACTATAAAGGTTATGAATTTCATTGCAGGAAGGTTTTTTGTTATATCATATTTACAGAAATTTTCAGCTTCAGCAAGGCAAAAAAGACATTTTCGACACGAAAAACATGTTCCAATTTTGTATAAAGATGATAACATTTTAACCACACATATGATAAGTGATTATATTCAGGTTAAATATCTTTTAAAATTCATCGTGGATATCATGATATTTATATAACATACAAATATGACAAATGCAAACAAAGGTCTACATATTAGCATCTTTATTTTTAATATTAAAACTAACAAATATTACAAACCATACATACAAATACACAAAACCAAATCACTGCCAATAATGTATATATGTATATTAAAGTGTTAAGGAATTGTTAAATTTCTGAAATTGATGATTGGAAGTTTATAAGCACTCTTGATTACCTGCTAGACATATACATATGTGCATAAATACAATTATAATTAGATTTTAAGGGCTAAAATTCAATAATGGGTTCCTTTTGGCTGTCTTACTACCTCAATATCTGGGGCTTATTTAAGATCTCCATTTCTAAGTTGAATAGTCCTCATGGATACTGTGTAAAGAACTGGGTACTATATTTGGGAAAATATTAAAAGTAGTAAATCAACATAGTCTTATTCAAGAAACAGGATAATGTGAATGGTGAATATGGGTGCCTAAATTATTTTTGAAAAATTGTATATTAGTGAAAAATTAGATGCTGTGGTAGCAGTAGAAGTACAAGGACTTTATATCAGAGATTTAGCTTCTTACTACAGTAGTAGCAGTGAACTGATTTTCAGCAAACATTTTGGTATTGCTAAAAATTTTTAACATAAAACCCTTCGAAATAACTATATTATATGATGTATTTTGATGAAAAGAGTTCAAAAAATTTCTGCAATAATTTTGGCAATATATGAAAATTAATTTTGGCTGCCTAAATACTGTAATTACTTTTTTATTAAGATAGCTAATTTAGGCACTCATATATATATAAAGGGTGTTATTTTTGGGAGATACTATATATAGTGGTCAACGGTATAATTGTTAACAGGAATTTATACAGTATATTTAATTCAATAGTGTATGTATGGGGTGCTAACAGGAGGTTATCTTATTATTTCAACTTCACTTAAGACAATTGTAATAGAATTTAGCTATCAATTATGTAGAGATCATAATAACAATAGTGAATTTGTATGCAGAACGAACATATCATTACCTCGCACTATATTCCAATACAACTCTCTGAACAAAGCATTGTTGTACCCAATTAATGACAATAAATGTGTATTTAATATATCATAAATATTTTCTCTAGGATGTTAAGTAGTTCGTCTGGTCTGGTCTTAAAAAGTCAGATTCTAGTGTTGTAGTCTGAAAAGAGACTTCTGATTCTTTTTGCCGAACTTTAGCTCTAGACCACAAGTCCAGACTGTATTATTTCATGGTCAGTTATATATTTAATTAGATTTACATTAATTAAAGAGATGTATAGTAATTTAAAGTTTGTCATGTAATTTTTAAAATTTGGCAAATATAGTATTATATAAGCAATCAATATTACAGGTTTACGTATACTAGTTATCACAGATTTTATAGTCAATAGATGTGATCAATTTATTAATTGTGTTGCCCTTTTCTTATAACAAGAAGAGAGTTTCATATGCAAGATATTTTATGATAGCTACAAACCCAGACTATACGATTTTATAGTTATATATTTATATCAATTAAAAGATGCTTAGTAATTTAAAGTGTGTACTCTCTACCAGTTTTAAGAGCTGGACGGTGAATACTCAGGGTATATAAGTATTGTATATATAGCACAATATATGATTGAGATATGTAAATACCTGAGGTACCCACGTCTGATAACACAAATTTTAGCAATTATTTAAATAATTAAATTATAGAAAACTACTAAAATTTATATATTGTAATATAGTTTTAAAAGCAAACTATTTATACATTATTTACATTACAGAATCACCAAGATTGATTAATTAAAAGTTGTAAAGCTTACTGAGATGCATCTAAAGGTGGTAAAATTATCCAAATTGGTCTAGTAGTTGTTGAGATATTATCGAAAAATGATTAGCCGACTATATAAAATTACTAGTTTGTTTATATAGTAATTTTATATAGTCAGCCAATCATTTTTTGATGATATCTCAACAATTACTAAACCAATTTGGATGATTTTATTATCTTTAAATGCGTCTTGGTAAGCTCTACAACTTTCAATTAATTGACTTTAGTTATTAACTTAGTATGAAAAAAAGTTTTATTTAATTAATTGTCAAAAATTATGATATTTCCTGCTTATTTAATTTATATAGTAAGTTGCATCACATTACACTAAGATCATTCATCAGGTGACTAGCAAATCATCTATTAAATTTTTTTGCAATTTAGATTTGATTAAATTTTTTTTATTAATTCTATAATACATTTTAGATTAATTTGTACTTTCTTTAATTGCAACTATATAGCATCTTCTATTTTCTGTCTGTTGTTTATAGTATTCTGATCTAAGTAGGTGTCATCTGGGTCACCCGCAGGTAAGTGGATGAACCGAGTTGAGTTATGACCACCCAGGTAGTCAACTCATAAATCATCTATGGGTTAACCTATAGATAACTCACCAGAAGAATTTCTGAATATTGTCTATTTATTGGCTTTTTTTCTCAAATCACTATAAGCATATTTGAAGTAAAGAGTAAAGTTTATATCAGGGTAACTCAGATTAAATATTTATGATTTATTTTACTGCTATTATCATAATTTTTGAAACACCTAATAAAAATTAGCTAGATGATTTTTTGGCTAATCTGGTTAAATTAGTATTTCGATATAATAAATTTAATAAAATTACAAAATTGTATATATATATATACATGTATATATAACTTTTATATTAAATTGTGCTAATTATTGCTAGCATTTCTCAATTTAATAAGCCAGATCTTCTCTGCATTGCCACCAAAATTTTTACACTTATGTAATATATGATAAATTCTTTAAAGTTTATTTATATAGGTTTAAGATTAATATAAGAGTTAAGATTTAGTGATAAATATAGTAAAATTGCTCAAGAAAATTTTTTTGTTAGAGTGCAATAGGTAGTTTCTTATGCTAATTTTTAAAAAACAAGCATTTTTTCTAAATTTTTCAAAAACAAATATTTGTTTTAAATTTTTCTAATTGTATTACATTATACCAAATTATTATTATCTATTGGATAATTCTGTAGATCATCATATGAGTATAAAAATTTTTAGTGATGATCCTGAGATAGTTATAAGCCAGCTCTATGAGAGTTTTGGCCAATATTATTCACGTAACAAAAATTACATACAATTTTGACTTCAGAACTTGTACAAACTTATGCAAAATTATAGTGATTTTCTAATCTTAGATATAAAAAACATGTTATATATATATATTTTTTTTATAATCAAAGCTAGCCTCTTTGGCTTGGACTTTTTATTAGATATACTAGAGATCACTGGTTGCCGCTAGCGGGCCCCAGATATAGTACAATTCGACAAGGATACATATGGGCACACATACAACTTTAGTCATTATCTATTTAAGAGCTCTGCTATATTACTATAATTAATCTCCATATACCATACCTAAGATCTGCTTGTGGATCTCTATATAAACTCTCTAATCTTGAACTATCCTATACTAATCCAATCTAATCTCACCTTGGATATGAGGTATATAGTTATTCTATACTCTTCGGGTCTTCGTCAACCCACCTATAGAACAACTATTTCTGGCGTATCCTCGAAGTATCACTTGCTAAAATAGTCTGGTACCTACTGTTCCCGTAATATCTAGTCTTTTCAGTAACTTACGCCGAGTCCGAGGACAAGTACTTGCGAGCCAAGGCCGCTACCGTTACCTACTTAGCCTTTATAGAGTTCACCCAAATCCTAGTACACACATTATAAACCATTTACAGTATCCTTGACTTATTCCAAACTACCAATCCAGATAGCTCAGAAGGGCTGTGACCTGCTCCTGATCTCCACAGTTGGGTCTTTTTCCTCTAGTTACTCCTCCGGTGACCTGGTTGGTGGAGTGCTTTGCCAAACACTTCGGTCCTGTTCGGTTTCTGCTAGTTCATCCAATAATAATCCTTTATGTAGTATTGTCAAAAATCCGTGCTACCTCTTTATTTGGGACTTGCCAAGTAAGCGCCGCATCGCTGTATCAGCCCTGTGGCTTTTTGCGATCTGAAGATCATTTGTGTAACTTATACATCACACAAAGGCCCCAAGATTTTCTAGTTCCGATGAATTGGTATAACTACAGTTACAGGGTTTCGAGTTTTCCTGGCTATGACGATATTTGCCAAATCTGTTTTTCAAAATTTAATTTTCTGTCTCTAGTGAGAATTAAACTTGTACTCAACCGCTTGGGGATGTGACAACTTCACTACTTTACTAAGTTGCCATACCCTCTAAAAGATATATTATATATAATACTTATTCTACAAATAAATTTATCATTATAAATGTTGATATGTTCA